ATATTTATTGATTTATACATGAATATCTTACTAATAGTGAAGTGTCAATTAGGTTACGCTATTTAAATTCCCTTCACCCAAGTTATCGTTTATAAATTAAGGTGCATAATATTGCCTGAAGATAGTTACAACTCTATATAATATAAACTCTGTTCGTCCCTGTCTATTTTAAATATTTTAGCGTGATCAACGTATAAAAGAAGATTGGAAAATAACATGAATACTATTCGTTATAATATAATAAAAATATTGAATAGAAGGGTAAGTTGAGAACCATGCGGTACCAACAGCAGCAAAAATAAATAGAAAACTTTAACTAATATGAGACCTAATTCTGAGAAAAGAAGTTATCCATCGAAACCATATATGCTACCATCTTCATCTGCACCGCTCAATTATTATTATTTGTAATAATCGGTGTGGAATCTTATCAAAAGCTTTTAAGTAATCGGTCTTCATGTTATCAACCTCATGACCCTCTTATATGGCTTTTAACCACATTTAAGAATTCACCCAAAGAATAATTAACACACAATATTAACTATAAATATTAATATTTTATATAAAAAAATTACAATTGCCTTGCAAAGTTTAATAACATTACAATACTCACAATTTCTTTTAAGTTAACTCCAGGGTGAGCAAAACTGTGTGTAATAAACAACACACACACAAACATCAACAACACATACACTAATGAGAACTTCATATTTAATTATTATAATACAATATACTCGGCACTTGATACCACTCCTCATGATATTTAGTGATCACATCTCACACTATTTAAAGGACGTTAATGTTCATATGTATTATAAGATTGGTCTTAAAACGAGCAATTAATCTTCCGAGTCATTAGAAAGACATTATCTAATTGGAACTACAATAGACACGGTAGGAGTAAATAATATATTTTGTAATTAGTGCTTACATACTTCAATTATTATTGTTAATTGTTACTCAATATAAAATAGATATCATGCTCTAAGTTTAATCAAGTTTCTCGCCACGCCATGTATGTATGTATGTCGTCGTCATCATCCTATCAGAGCCCACTGCTGAGCAAGGCCTCTTTCTCACATGGAGAATGTTTGAGCATTAATCACTACACTTGCTCAAGACGGGTTAGTGATTTCCAACTTATATTTATGAAATTATAAGTTCAGGTTTCCTCACGATGCTTTCCTTCACCGTCTGTGAGTGTTGTCTAAATACTCTCAGAAAGTACATATGAATCAGAACAATCATATTGGTACTGGCCAGGATCGAACCCGCACCCTCATGCAAAGAGAGGCGGGCCTTTAACCACTAGGCCGCCACTGACTATGTCAGTAATATAATTATTTGTGAAGTCAAAACAATGTATTGAGTGAAAATAGCATGCTATTCCTGTAATTCGTTTTGAGGCCAGTGGAGAATATATTTTGTCTAACAAATAACTGGACAGACAAAATGAACTTAAATTCAACAAAACAAAGCAATGACATCTTGGATGTCATTTCTGTTCACTGCTACATGAATGATAGAATTTTCAAACTTTTGTTTCAACAAAAGCATTTTTATGTTAATCGCCTTAAAACACAAGAAAGGCATAAACTTAGTTCTATATTTTGAATTGTAAAAATTTATTTTATGTGAAAACAAAACGTTTAAATAAATAAATTCAAAAACAATGCTTTAAATTAGCGACGATCGAAACGTATTGACTAAAATAAATATCTCTAATTTATTAAGCGTTAATTAATTTTAAAAATAATGTAAAATATGTATGAATATTGTAGTGATAAAGAATTCAAACCAAGACGTTTCGAATGATATAATCAATTCCTTAACAAAAATAAAAAAAAACTTAAATTTAGATTATTGAACCTTTTAAAATGTATGGGTTTGTCAAATTGTATAACAATGTATCTCCTTATCGATGTGGGTTTAACGTGAGGCGACTTCTGTTATATAAAATATCTGACCGGAATAAATCACACAGGAATTAACGTGGGCTTCCCAAATCAGGTCTCACAAGTTGAATGCACGGAAGACAAATGTATCCCTATTTATAAAATGTTTATTGGTCTTTAATATTTCATATAAATTATATTCAATATCCATTGAAATAAACTATGTATTTATAATTTTCCTTCTGAATGCAACAAAATATGGTTAACATCCTAGAATAAAAAGTCTTTGCTATGTGCACCTCATAGATATCAACCTATTAATATACAAATTTAAAATCTAGAAGTAATAGGGCTCCAATTTATATATGGGCTGTCTCAACCCTGATAGAAATATAGCAATTGCTTCTTAGTTAAACATAAGAAAATATTTTTAATTTGACTTTGGTGCCAACGGAGAAATTGAGATAAGAAATCTTGTCTATATTTTGACATAAATGCAATGTGAAATCTCCAAAAAGTTTCAAACTTATAATATCTATTGATTTATAACAGCTGACGCCAGTTCAATAGTGGAACAAGTTATTGGCAATGAGACAATATTGGACTCAAATTATAGACGTCTTTTTATATTGTCTATATTATTAACAAACGAAAAGAAGAGAATGAAAGAGTTGCGGTACTGGGAGAAGTAGGTTTAAAAGTGACTGCATATAACTTTCTATAAGTTGGAGATTTCTATGGACATCGGAAATCCTGATCTAATGTAGTACGTACACCTATGTGCTTTAATTTGTTTTGTAGTACCTGCTTTTTGGTAATTATTCACTGATAAGCGTGAGTTACCACACGGTTAAGTTCGACGTGTCTGGAAGTATAAAAATGCCTTAAAGTTAACGTTATTTTTAAAATGTGACTTGATTTTTTTAACTAAATGGTATAGGCGGCCTAGGAAGTTGGGAGCTCTGTAACCCACTGACTGACTTAAGTTGGAAAACCATGTAGACGAATCCTAAACATTTGGCTCTCTTTTGCCAAAGAATGAGGCGTATAATTTTATTGGAGTGTTTTGAGTGTCAATAGGTCGATTTCTAGGAAGGGGCTGCGGTTTTCTTTTCAGGATTTATTTCTCTTCTCCTTCGGGAAACTTGAAGGCGAGTTGTACTTTGTTCCAAACCTATTCCTTTTCATTGAACTTAGCTACAACAAATGAACCCTTTCAGTTAAAATAAGAATAAGTTTTAAATATATTACTTTTAACAAGTTTTACTGTCAAATAAACTCATTATTTACTATAAGCTTTGTTGCTATTGTCACACTTTATAATTTCATTTATTACAAGAAAAATTCTTTTTATTCTAAGATTTCAAGAAAAGTTTATAAGAAATTTCCCATACATATATGACATAATTATGTCATATAATGTAATGACATTAATAACATTATATACGTTGCTTGTTAATTTATACTGAATTAATATTTAAATCAAGATATCATCAGTCTTTGTATATAATCATATTACTATTTATTATACAGTTCAATATTCATATTGTGGTAGAAATTGCTGCTTCAAGTCATACTTTAAATTAATTATCAAACTTATTAAAGCTAAACGTGTCTTTGACAAAATTTAACATATTTCAATACGTATTCAATATTATTTTAAACTCCTGCTAACACTTCAGATTTGTTCATATGTAATTGAATTATCTCGTAAGATAAGTTAATACATATTCTAAAAGTTAAATCTTACGAAGGACGAATACATTTTAATATTAAATGTTTGTTTAAATCTGAAGTAAACTTTATTAAATTATAAAGATAATGGCATAAGATTACAATTTCAATAGAAATCGTGATGTTGTATTGATTATTTTTTTGAATTTGCTCGCTTGCGAATTGTAGTCGTCAACACCTGGATGTCTTCAGTGAATCTGTTGGTTCTCTTTAAAATAAACTTAAAACAAAATCACATTATTTTATGTACTTAATAATCAAATAATTAACTAGTCAGTAATTACACAAGTACTGTTCTTGTTAACTTAGCAAGGTATATGTTTTTTAAAGCATGCTAGGTTTACATCCAGAAGACTGCAACTTAATGACAGTCTGTTTAGCTTAGATTTTATTTTGTATGCACATGTGTAAGTCAGTTTTGTAAACATAAATAAATAAAAAAAAATATCTTGAAATTGGTGATTATTGGATTAAAAAAAGTACATCGATGTATTTTTTTAATGCAATGCAATTTATAATAATAATAGTAATATACATACATAAATGCCTTTTCTATCGTTTATTCTTTTCTGAATTATTAATTTTATTATTTTCAACGAAATATTTACAATTAAGTCAAATATTTAACAAACATCTTCACAAGATTCTAGACTGATATGTTGCTACTAGGAAACTAATTGATGAATGACTATGACAAACAATTTAAATGATAATATTATTACCAGAGACAGTGACATTGCAGCCATGTGTCACAGTGAAATACATTAAAATGATAGTGTGGAGAAACCTGTGTAAATTAAAATTAATATCACTATAAAAGTATTAGTAATTATAAACATATATTCTGGTACAGAAGTCCTTTTGTTACAGACGAGCTACATATTAAAAAAATAAATAAACATCGCCGGGTCAATATCGTTGTATGGATAAAATATCATATGATGAGTGACGCCGGTGACTCCGCGGAACGAACACCAATCCGTGTGAACCAGGAGATTCCTGATACCACACAAGATATGGAATGGTATTGCTATCCTAACATCAGGCAAACTTGTAGTCTTAGGTATAGGTTATAAGTTTTAATATATAATTCTTATCATTAATAAATATAAGTAAGTTTCGTAGTTTTTCTAGAACCTCTGGTTGCCACTCTACATAATTATTGTAATAACAACATCAATTGTCACTACGTATGATCCGAGTTTGCTTCGTCACACTAAAAACACACACAACTCTTCATATAACACACACAACTCTTCATATAATACACAAAATGGGTTAGAAGCTTCATATAATAATTTTATTTAACTTTTAACAAACATGAAAAAGTTAAAGGCACTAAAGTGACTTATACTGAATATATGTATATTATCATATGCTATGTTGTTTTTTTTGAGAGCTGTTTGTTCCTTTATGTGTGTGTCCTCTCCGACCTCTTTGTACTATTCCTTGGACCTGACCGATCACCGACAGACCGTACAGCACCTTGCTCTGAGAACAATATAGTATTATATTAAACAAACTCACAGGATGTGCTAGGATTGAAACAACTGTTACTACAAAAGGCGGTGACTGTATAATATACATATAACATAGTCCAAATATTATATAATGAATGAAATAGGACTTGAAATTAGATTTTGTTTTTAACTAAGCCTGTTTTATTATGCTACGTAATAATTAAGTGACAAAGGTATAAAAATGGTTTAAGCTTTTTTGTTAAAGTAAGTTCATTATATTAAGTTATATCGTATTTTATAATAAAAGCTATCAACTACCATTCTCTACCCACCGCCTTCTCGCCCAACTTCTTAGTCCATGACTTAGGAGTAGTAGAAGCAGGCACATTCACTCCATGGATAGTGTCGCCATGAGACATATGTAACACCATACATATAAACAACATAACTACCATAACCTTCATCTTTACTATTCTAAAACAAAATAAACGAGTCTTATGAACTACAAGACTTTTATACTAACGAATATGTATAGAGGAAAATGTGTTCGATAAATAAACATTTATATAGTAAGGAATCCCCCGAGGAATGGAATATTGATGAACGTGACTGATTAAAGAAAGAAACTTATTGCATTCTTCTTCATGGTAAATTAATATAAAAAAGTATTACCCATTTAAATATATGATTATATTTGTTCTTTTTAATATAATTTTAGTCCTTTAGATGATATAAACGTAAATTTTAGCTACACCTATGTACATAAACAAAGTAACAATAATTGTGAGTTTATCAGGATTTAGAAAATCCATTTGAGAAGAGGCCTTTGCTCAGCAATGGACTCTGATAAGCTGATGATGATGATGATGATGAATAGGTTTTTCATAAAAAGATTTAATTTTTCTTCAATTTAACAATAAATTTACAAATTTAATTTACAGCCTATTTGATTGTATAATAATTAATATTATGATCTCTAAATTATACCATTCACAGCGTTTGACACATTTCGTAACTAAATAAAGTTTATCAAAATCGGTGTTTATTTAAATAAATATTTATTTAAACTTGTAAGAAGAAAAAGAAAACAATTGCGAATACAAACATCATTTATCCTTACAATGAAATTGTATAATATTATGTTCGTAAGCAGTTATTAATTTTGGCGATGCCTTAATAGTTTTATTGTACTTTGTCGACTTAGATTCAATATATATTTTAACAATAAAGTATTTAATATCATAAAACAACATGACATTCTTCACATACTAAAAATTATAACATTTACATCATATTCTTATTTTAAATTAGTACACATTTGCAAAAACAATAAAATCTATTAAAACATATATCCCTTATAAAAAAAAAACTAACTTTATATAAGAACATAACATAAACTTTATATTTAAAAGTAATATCTAACAAATGAAAGATACAATACACTAAGGGTCACAAGTCAGAATAATATTCGCTGAAGCAAATTTGTAGAGACAAGTAGAACATTAACCTATGTTGCACTTAAGACGTTTACTTAATTTTTTTATTGTCTTTTAAATACATACTTTTGACCATGACTTCATCCTTGGAACTTCGATATTAAGCTCAAATAAAAATGCAAAAATTGAAGCAACAGACAATAAGTAGCGACAACATATGTATGTCATATGTCTTCATACGTACTATAACTAGTGGGCTTTGATCTCGCAAGAACTACAAACATCTGTCTCATTTGTAATATATAGCAGAATGTAAAGAAAAATCAACCAAATACATATTAAATATTCTTTATTTTCTAATGAATTTCCTTTTTCAAAAGCGAATTTTAACGCTCATTAAATTAGATTTCCATATTTTTTACTATTACTTTAGAATTTTAAACACAATGTTAATTTCTAATGATAAAACTGTATAATATTTTATAGTCAAGTATACATTCATGTGATAATAAATAAAGTTTAAGTTCTGTATGATAAAAAATTTTACTAATAAAGAGATTATAGCGGATGTTATAAAAATTTATCAATATTTTTATATAACATTAAGGTGTTCTCTGTAAATTTTTTAACGCCGGATACAGTTACTTTATCCCAAAATCATAAGCGACAGTATTATCCTCATAAATAATTATGTGTTATGGTTTGTTAAAAATATGTCTTCCATAAATGTTTTTCGGAAAATCTTTAAAGATAATTATTATTTATCAGTTTTAAATAACTTTTTGTATCTTTTTTTAAAATTTAATAAGCACAACCTAAATAAATAACACACCAAAATGGAACGAATGGAAGATTCAGTAGGAATCTAATCGTTTTGGGGTGACATTCTAACTTTTATTCACAATTTAACCCAAAAGTAGGTATTACTAAAAGAAAACACGAGCCTATTTGTTTTAAATTTATTACAATTCAATGTTTTCGTTTTCGTGGTTTAAAGACTTCGACAATATCATGCACTGTGCCAGCTATGTTTATAGCTCGGAGTCCTTTACCCTGGAAACAAACATTATAATACACGATACAGTCAAACAATTAACTATTAAGAATGCTAGCTGTTGCCTGTTACTTTGTCTGTATACAAGAAATTACAAGACAATGAAAAACTTTTAAGTACGCGGAATCAGAATAAATTATAGTCCATATCTTTCTCCAAGATTCCATCTATCTCTATAACAAAAAATAATCCGAATCGGTTCCGCGGTTAAGGCATATAAACGTAACAAACAGACAGACAACGTTATTATAGCATTTATAACATTAGTAGGGATAATAAAATATACTTACAACTGCTTTCGCGCCTTTTCTAATTGCATTTACTGGTATTTTAACTGGGCTAGCCTCACGTGTACCAATTAGGGACATAAGACATAATACAACTAGAAGTACTGCTACCAGCTTCATCTTATCTGTCTGTTCTCTTCAATGTATTAAAATGTACTCCGAATGTAAATTTACGCTTATTTTATACCACATTTCTTTTGTGTGATAACTGATAAGGATTCTTTGAGATGGGGATTGTACCGCGTCGTTTTGTTGTTGTTTAATTATTTGTTTAACACGTTTAAAATTTAAATTTCTTTGAAAATGATCTCATGATATATGTAAACGGACTTAAAAAAAATTGAGTGTAATTTCGATAAATATCTCTAAAATATTGCTTTGTGGTAGGTGCGACCAAAAACTGGTCCAAAAAATTTCATGATCAAAATATTATATGAAGTTATATAATAGTTTTAAAGTGAATAATTTAATTCATATAAAAAATGTGCACATTACAAAAACTGGAAAAACCTGGTTTGTTTACACTATTATTGATCAATAAACCATATTTGGTAAACCTCAAGAATGCTAATCAACACCTATGTACTCGTAAATATAAATTAAATATTAAATACGTATTTTACCTGTTATTATTTTATAATCTCAAATACTTTAGTATAAGGTCAAATTATATGCAATAAAATTAAAATGTATGTATCTATGTTAATATGTATTCATTAAACTAATTCGCTGCTTTAATATCTATTTATTATATAAAAACTGACTCTATTCATTATTAAATAGAATCCTTTATTAAATGTTACACTTAATTAATCACATCTTTTTATTTATTCAAATCACTTGCAATCAAAATGCATCCTATGATTTTTTTATGTTAAGAAAAGCTACTTCTCATTTCACTACAACAAATTTGGAACATTTTAAAATATCATTAAGGCTTTCGTTAGTCGTAATATCATCCCTACTAATATTATAAATGCGAAAGTAACTCTGTCTCTCTGTCTGTTACGCTTTCACGCCTAAACCAATGAACTGATTTTAATGAAATTTGGTACAGAGATAGAGTTGGCCTTGAGGAAGAACATAGGATAGTTTATATCCCAGACTTTTGAAAAGTTCTCTTGGAAACGCGATATAACCGAACTTCACGCGGGCGAAACTGCGGGCGGAAAGCTAGTTGGTATATACATATAACTATCGTAAGAACGAGCTAGTAAGTTGGAAATACCATTCATTCTCCACAACATAAACTGTATTAATGAATACCTACTTTATATTGTACACACGAAGCACGTGTTACCTAAACCAAGGTACACTATGGAAATATTATACCGCAATGATTATACAGGGTGACTGGTGAATTACTATCAATATTTAACAGAATACTCGGTACATGATTCTCATTCGAATTATGAAAAAAAAATAGGTAGTTAATTTTTGACCAAATTTCCGTATAAATAAATAAAGTGTGGACACGTTCCAAGTATTCCAAGTGTGGACGCGTGCGGCGGCGTGCTGATACATCACCACGCCGGCGCACGCGTGTGTGTGTGTGTGTATACCTAATCTGTAGAGTGTTCACACGATGCGTAATTAATTACATAACTTTTGGTTAACTTTACTTAGAAGTTTATTAATATTTATGTTATATTAATTTTTATTTTGTCATATATGATCGTCAAATATCACGTCCTCGAGTATCGATAGTAATTCACCAGTCACCCTGTATACACACGTTGTGATTGAGGTAAAACTGTACGTTTAAAACGTTTAAGGGGTTCAGAAAATCCCGATGAGAAATGAGAACAGTGGCGAGGAATATAAATACAAAGGACTATGGATTGTGATCATTCAATAGAGGACGTTGGTTGAGTTGAAGACGTGTTGTAATATCATCAATATGAAGCTGTTCAGTCTGTTCCTGGTAGTTCTGAGTCTGATCTCACTCCTCGGAGGAGCGATTTCTGCTCCACAACCTGGCAAAGGGAGCGCCATCAGGAAAGGAGGAAGAGTTATTGTGAGTATTGAGAAATATCGTTCTATATAAAATACTAGCTGACCCGGCGAACTTTTTGCCGCCCTATAATCAAGAAATATCTGTTACCATTTTATCTGATTCAAGTTAATTTCTTTATTTAGTATAGCTGACCCGACAATGTTCGGTCTTCTTAACATTCTAATAGGCATATATATTAACAAATCAAAATTATTTCAAAAACAAAGTGTTTATTATTCTAGTGCTTTATTCTAACTACGTGATAGTAGAGGATCCCGATATAAGCGACCTTCACCGAGATGTTTATTTGATGAAACATATTTTATATTCAATTTAATATGTCAATAACTATATTACATATGGGTTGCCTCATAAATTTTAGTCCAGGATATGATTAATTAACAATTAAAAATAGTTTTTTTTTCAAATATTTCACCGGTTTGTTTATTAGATAAATTCCACACCAATCGAAAGTACGGAGCCCATAGAATATGAAAACGTTAGGTTGCCTATTCTTTTCCAGTCACAACTCTCGGGTTGCCAGGGATAAACAGGTACATCGATAGTAGCATTTTGCACCGGTCTGTTAATTTAATCAAATTTAAATGAAAATAAAGATTATTTAATTATGAACACGGTGAAATAGGGTTGCCTGCGAAAAATCGGTCCTAAATTAGGGTTGTCGAATTTT